TCAGGCTCAGCACCCCCAGACCCACCACCCTCAGACCCCGCACCCCCCGGCTCCGCACCCCCAGACGCAGCACCCCCAGACGCAGCACCCCCAGACGCAGCACCTGAGACGACAGCTACCTGAACAGGTGCAGTACCAGGGAGAGGGTCTACCTGAGACACTCCCGAGGGAGCAGGACCCTGGGGCGGAAGGGGGTCAACCGGAGGTGGACCGGGAGCAAGGAAGAGCGGCGGGGGCGGGGAATGGGCAGAGCGGTAGGGGAAGAGACGGTAGAAGGGAACCGACTCGTCGAACGTGACTACCTGAGAAGGGAGGACACGGCGCGAGGTGGGGTGGTAAAACTGCCAGCCAGGCGCGTCAGGGACAAAGCCAAGGAAGACGCAGGGAATGGCGCGGGCGGAGAGCTTGTCCGCGGACTTATCGTGAACAAAGGCACGAGAACCCCAGACACGGAATACCGACGCATCGCCAACCTTCCCCGTCCAACGCAGTGTGGGCGAGGTCTCCGGCAAGGAGACACGGGGCCAGAGGTTGAGCTGATGCGCAGCGTACCGGACCACAAACGGCCACAGAAAATGGGGAGCGGCCGCATGAATCATGGAGGTACGAGCGACCTCCATGACTAAGCCAATGCGGCGCTCAGCAATCCCATTTTGCTGAGGGGAGTCCGGAAGCGTGAACGTCTGGAGAATGCCCTCCCCACGACAAAAGTCCCGCAAGAGGTCGGAGGAGAACTCACCACCTCTGTCAGAGTGCAGACGCAGGACAGGAAGGTCCTGGCCGAACCGCTCGCGCAGCTGGAGACGGACTGTGCGGATCCAAGGGATCAAGACAGCAGAGACTTCACCCTTGCTGCGCAAGGGGAAGACTGTGGTGTACCGTGTGTAGTCGTCAACTACCAGCAGAAAGTAGCGCTCGCGGCCCTGTCCACTGACGCGGGCTGGGCCCCACACGTCCATGTGGAGGGTCTGCAGGGGAGCAGTCGTCGGGGGAAACGAGGAGGAGTGAGGAGCGGCGCGCTGCCGCCCCTCGATGCAAGCAAGACAGGGCGGGGCAGGTGAGGGCGGCAGGGGAGGCAGAGACCTGGGGAGACCAGAGACAAGGAGACGGGAGTGCATGCCACGAAGGCGTGGCAGGGAGGGGTGACCAAGGCAGTGGTGCCAAAGAAGAGTCTGGTGCGACAGGAGGCGACACGAGCAAGAGACGGCTACCTGACCCGACGCGGACACCTGAGCAGACGCAGCGACCTGAGGAGGCTCGGTAGCCAGTGTGTACAGACTCGACCCTGGCCGACGAGTGAACGTAGCCAGACTCGGCCCCACCTCATAGACCGTTTCCTGTTGACTGACGGTGGCACCAGCTATTTTTGCTAGCACTCCTGACACCCCTCATACACCTTTCGCGAAACCCGGACTCCATCGCTGGCTGGCGTCTGTTAATATTCCTACCGCGACTCACCCTTCGCCAACCCTCGGCAAAACGCCCGGACTGGCCATTAGTCAAAAGTCGGCTGCGCGCTTTCCAGAGTGGCGAATGGGATCAACTGTATTGCGATGCAGCCGAGGCGGTCAACACACCACCACCGCCACGTCACCAGCTGGACGACACGGAGGTTATCAACAGAGCAGAGGGACTGGCAAAGCGTGGAAGCCTGCGATGCGCTGTATTGGCCCTCGAGTCAACGCCGGTGTGCATGCCGAGTCCAGAAATTCTGGACGAGCTGAAGCGCAAGCACCCACCTGCTGGTAATGAGCTGCTGACATGGCCCGCATACACCTCGTCACCAGACTTAACGGTCTCTCGCACGGATTTTGTCAAATTGTTGAGTCGCGGCGAAAATGGGGTGGGTGCGAAGCCGTCAGGGATGACATTCGAGCACCTCCGCGACGCGTCAATCACCAACACATCGGTCTGCACCCACCTGCACGCCCTAGTCAACACACTCCTCGGGGGAATTTTTTCCCAGCCTGTGGCAGACATGCTGACAGCTTCAAGCCTCGTAGAGTTGGCGAATCCGGAAGGAGGATGTCGACCAATCGCAATCGGAGAATGCATGACACGATTGGCTGCAAAGGCAGCCCTGGCAATCGTGGGCGAATCAGCGCGAGAGTACTTTTTACCAATCCAGTACGGTATTGCGGTAACAGGAGGGGCCGAGGCAATCATTCACACCGCGCGTGCGTACACCAGCTACCACCCAGGCTGTCCGGTCCTGCAAACTGACTTTTCAAATGCTTTCAACTCCATTTCGTGTCACGCGATTGTCACAGCACTACAGGAACCAGATCTCTCCCCGCTCCTGCCCCTGGTACAACAGACCTGTGGGAGCCCGTCCCAGCTCCACCTCGACACGGGCTTTGCAAGTGCCCCGCTCAGGAGCGAGCAAGGCGTACGCCAAGGTGACCCCTTGGGGCCCCTGCTTTTTGCGGCCGGAATCCACTCAGCTCTACGTGCAACAGACGCTGCGTACCCGGATGTACTTTGCCTGGCGTACGCGGACGACGTTACTTTTCTCGGCGACGGAGCTACTGCGGTATCAGCATTTTCTCACTTTACCGAGCAGCTAGAGCATTTAGGCTTACAGCACAATCTGTGAGAGTACGATGGCTTATGCTGGCTTTGCTAGCTTGCCTAGACTTTATTATGCTATTACCAGCTTAGGCTTTATTTATCATGCATAGATTTGCTTGATTTCCTAGGTTAGGTGCATTCCTAGATTCTATTATAGTTATAGCACCGAACCAGGTTACGTGTACCAAACTCAAGCTTTTCGGTTGCCACCGAATTGCTTTCTATTGAGTTCGAGAAGGTTCTGTTCGGGATGCTTTGCGACCCTCAGAACATTCGCGTAACACCTGGTAACTGGCCTTGTGTCGAGACTATATATAGCCTCGTGTTGTACTCATGTGGATCATTCAATTCAAACTCTCTTTTCTGAGCTCGATCCTAGATCCTCACACAATCCTGCTAAGTGTGCAGCATGGTGCAACGGTAGCAGCGACAGTAGCATGACTCTTCCGCCAGGGGTCCCCTTCCGCGCTGACTGCATACAAATCCTTGGTAGTTTCCTGGGAACTTCCACAGGCGCCGCTACCTTTCTCGCAGAACACCTCCAGGACATGGCGAAACCACTCCCGCTACTTGAACTTACTGACCCGCAAGTCGCCTCCCTGCTACTAACCCGATGCATTTCACGGCGTGTGGCGAACCTGACTAGAACTAAACCGCTCAACCTCCTACCTTTAGAAATGTGGTTGCAGTGGGGCATGGATCTTCTAGCCACACTCCTGGCAGCCTGCAATATCCGTGTCCCAACTAGCAATGACGAGCAGACGCGCGTTTGGAAGCAGGCCTCGCTGTCGCCTTCGCTAGGCGGGATTGGTCTTGCTGACCCGACTGTAGAAGAGGTATCTGGCTTCCTGGCAAGCTTCACACATGCGGCTCTCCTACTTAGCTCTTTGCCGTTGCAGCTAGAAGCAGTCCCGTGTTCGACAAAAAACCACATGCTGCTTCCACGGGATGCAGGCAACTCCCCGCTCCATTCATGGTTGACGGAGTGCGAGCTAGCTCTCCCTGCAGACGCGAAAGAGACACTGGAGAAGGAGAGACTGGGACCAACCGGAAACAAGTTGCAGCATGCGTTGTCGCTGAGCGTGCAAGGGAGCAGATATGCCGAGCAAGTAGGGGAGACCAGGCGAATGAAGCTCAACCCCCTCTCCAGGCACATGCAGCGCATGTTTTCTCTCACCGGATACGCCACAGAATACTGGCTACATGCCATCCCCATAGCACCTACCCGGCGTGTTGGGCTAGAGCACTTCACCAACGCGGTTCGCTTTTGGCTGGGTCTGCCCTTCTCGACACCGGCCAAGTGCGACTGTTCAGCTCAAACAGCAATTCCTGACCCAAGGCTCCCAAACCACCTCTTCCGCTGCGGCACAGGCAAGCACCGTATTAACACACAAAACGAGCTACGAGACGCGTGCATCAGTATGGCGAAGGACGCGGGCTTCATAGTTCACGGGGAATCTGCGGCCTATTGCCCGATCAAGGAACAAACGGCTGACCTAACTATCCGGGACAAGAGCTCAGGGGCGGTTTACATATGCGACGTCACTATCACCAACCCAATCAGCACTAGGGACCCGGACGCTACCAAGGGCCGAGGATGGGCGGCAAGGGAGGCAGGTGATAAGAATATTAAGCACTACGCAAACCGACCTGATTCTGTGGGTTTCTTCCCATTGGCAGTCGACACGTATGGCTGCCCATGCAAGGAAGTGCCTATCTTCCTGAAGTTACTGGCGGATATGGCAGCTCGGCGGTACTTTAACGCCGATTCTAACTCGTTCCAAGCTGCCAAGTTCCTCCACCAATTTAGGCAGAGGTGGCCAGTGGCACTGCAGAGGGCCCAGTCAGTGGGGTACCTCATTAAGTCCTACCAAGCAGCAACTGCAGAGAACCCGCCAGTCGGGGGAGTAAACACCGAGATGCAACCAGGGGATTGCTTCACTGTGCTTGAGGCCCTGTTAGAGCTGTAGCTGGCTGTTTGTTAGAGTTTTGTAGGTGCACACAAGTTAGATGAGTTTGCATGAAAATTTCCTTGCACGTTTGTATCCTTTTGGCTTATCCATATCAGGACCATTTGAGAGAGAGAGAGAGAGAGAGAGAGAGAGAGAGAGAGAGAGAGAGAGAGAGAGAGAGAGAGAGAGAGAGAGAGAGAGGCACCTAGGCCTCTCCCCTTAGCCTCTCAGCCCTAGTTCCTTAGTATAAAGGCTCTAGCAGCCGGCCTAGTTCCTCATTGTTCGGTTTCCATTCTCCTAACCGAGCGGCTCGCGCCGGCCGCCTTCGGCGGCCGACGCTCGACAGCGCCACCTTCGGCCGCGCATGAGGGGACAACAAGCACATCGCAGGCAGATGCGAATAATAACGCAAAGGCGTACACTCATGGCAGGGGGTCCCATCTACTAGCGACATCATGGGACATGCACGAGGGGATCCTACATCTGATCCGCGTCAAGGACAGCGAGAAGACCCGTCAGAGAACGATGAAGCTCGGGCACCACCACTGTCGTTGCGCCGATCAAGTCGACGGCAGAGCCCGCGCGCAAAAACCGGCGCAACCCATGGACCGCCGTCCCTAGCTGTCCAATGCCCGCAACTCCACCCCGCGCGGGCGCAGCCAACACGGGCGCCAGGAGCTCGGCCAGCCGATCCGCAGCATCCAGGCACTCGTCCCGGGGGCCAGGGTCCAGATGAACACCCTGGGAGAGAGCCGCATGACCATACACCTGAATCAAGTGCACTGCCCGCAGACCCTCAGAGAGGCGCCATAGCTGCCCCAGCGACGCCTCTGGCACCACGGCTGACGGAGAGGGCCCCGCCAGTGACTGTACTGGCACCGATGCAGCCGGAGGAACAGGAGCAACAGGCAGTAGAGAGGGATACTGCGCCGCCACCGGTCCTCCAGCCGCAGTCACAAACTCCATACCCGCCAGAGGAGGAACCCACGGTAGGTGCATCCGGTTCCCATGAGCAGCGGCAGACGCAGAGGGAGCTGGGGGAGGGGGAACGGCTGACTGTGGAAGAGGAGGTGCAGGCTCATAGGGCGCAGACGGAGGAAGGGACGCATGCGCTAGAGCGACGCGCGGTGAGTTGCTCTGGCTCGCCTGCCCGTTTCGCTCCAGTCGCATCGCATCAGAAACAACGCGCTGAAGATCAGCCATCGTTACTGGCTGATCATACGCCCAGCCGCCACCACGACCGCGCCCCCCCCACCAGCCACCGCGACCGCCTCGGGATGCAGCCCAGTTTGCCTGGGACCCACGGTGCCAAGGAGAATCGTGTCGCCGCCGCGTCGTCTCTCACTCGTCACGGGGCGCAGGAGAGTGAGGCCGATGCTGCCGGCGGCCCGGAGACGGGTGACGCTGAGCCAGGGGAGCAGCAGCGAGCGGCGCGGGATCAGGAACCGCCTGGACGTCCGGGTGCGGCACCGATGTCGCCGCAGTCGGTAGGACGGGAGCCGACAGCGCAACGCCCCCCCCCACCTCCCCGGGGCCCGCGCCGCCAGTGGTGGCGGACACCGCGTGCGGCGACGAACCAATAGCAGCAACCAGTGCAGGCAGGGCGACAGAGACATGTGGCGCATCAAGGACTGGGGCGCTCGGGGGGGCATCAACAACGACAACGGGAACTGGAGACTCAACGGGAGCAATAGGAGCAACAAGGGCAACGGGAGCAGGCCCCGCAAGAGCGTGCGCGTGAGGAGCAGCCGCAGTGGGAGGATGAGGCTCTGCGGCAGGTGGAGCCGGCTCTGGTGGATTCGGGGTCTCCAGCATGGAGGGAGGCGGTTTCGGTGCAAACGGCAGTGGCGGCTTCTTCGAGGCAGTCACCGAGCCAGACACTGCCGGCGACCTACCGGAACCCGCAGACGCAACGACAACGCAGTCTGGCTCAAGCCAGCCTTCGATCACCATCGCGGAGAGGACGGGGTAGAGGCCGCGGGGGAGGAGCAGCTACACGTGTGAGCAGCGGACCGGAGAATGCCTTCCAGGTGGCGGGACGACAGGCTTTAAGAACGATAATCAAAGATATCGAACAGGAGGAGCGCAGCGACCCCTCTTATAGGGAGGAGACGGATGTCCTTAGTAGTACCAGTGAAGAGGAAGATGGAACTCGGGAAAGGGAAGAGGCAGCGAGCAGAAGTCGAACAGAGCAGCAGAGTGCAGAAGAATCTCATCGAGCTGAGGGTGAGCCACACGATGGCGATCGTACGGCCAGAAATCCAATTCAAGCTCCAACCCCCTCCCCGAGCCGCAGCCGCACAAATCGGACCGCGAGGCACCAGGCCGGCATGGCGCCCGTGGTCCCACATCAGCGCTACTACTCGCCAGAGGAGCTGGCGACACACCATGACCGGTTCGCATCACTCGCGAACTGGGATATTGCCCCGCTCTGCGACAGTCGCCAACCCTCGCTAGCCCGCAGATTGCCGCCAAACCTGTGTCAGATTTTTTCGCTATGCATGCTGACACCACTCCTACATCTATCGCGTAACCCGGGCTCTATCGCAGGCTGGCGTCTGATCCTTTTTCTCCTGCGTCTCACTCTTCGTCATACTTCGCCAAAACGCCCAGATTGGCCAAAAATCAAAGCGCGACTCCGTTCGTTCCAAAGTGGCGAATGGGATCAGCTGTACACTGAAGCAACCAAATCAGTCAATAACCCAGCCCCGCCACGACATCAACCCGATGACACAGGTGTCATCAGCAGAGCAGAGGGACTGGCGAAGCGCGGGAGTCTACGCAGAGCGGTGTTAGCACTAGAGTCAACCCCGGTCTGCACGCCCTATCCTAGGATTTTGGATGAACTTCGACAGAAACACCCACAAGCGGGACCCGAGCCGCTGACGTGGCCCCAACACAATGATCCCCGAAGCCTGGCAATCCCATACGTTGACTTCCACAAGCTACTGAGCCGATGCGAGAACGGGGTGGGTGCAGGGCCATCTGGCACCACGTTTGAACACCTGCGCGATGCGGCAATGACAAACGCATCGGTCTGCACCCATCTTCACGCCTTGGTTAACACCATGATGGGGGGTACACTGCCCCAGCCTGTAGCAGACCTGCTCACGTCATCCCGCCTAATTGCGTTGGCCAAGCCAGAAGGCGGGGGCCGACCAATTGCATTAGGCGAATGTTTGACCCGCCTGGCAGCAAAGGCCGCCTTGTCAGTAATCGGAGAAGCAGCACGGGAGTTTTTCCTGCCTCTGCAATTTGGGGTGGCAGTTCCAAGTGGAGCAGAGGCAATCATCCACACCGTACGGGCTTTCACCAACGCCCGACCTGACACACTGATACTGCAAACCGACCTATCAAAGGCTTTTAACAGTATCTCGCGACAAGCAATAGTGGCAGCTCTACAGGACGATGCGTTACAACCATTACTGCCTCTGGTTCAACTCACATATGGCAACCTGTCGCTAACTCTACCTCGATGCCGGCTTCAACAGCGCACCCTTGGCGAGCGAACAAGGCGTCCGCCAGGGAGACCCCTTAGGCCCCCTGCTTTTCACGGCAGATATACACCCAGCCCTACGTGCGACTGCCGACGCCTACCCCCGCGTGCTCTGCCTAGCCTATGCCGACGATGTCACGTTCCCAGGTGCCGCCGCCGAGACAACCGAAGCCTTCGCCCACTTTACCGGACAGCTAGAGCTAGTAGGCCTCCAACATAATCCCGGAAAGTGTGCCGCATGGAGTAGAACCCGCCCAGCCAGCTCGATACAACTACCACTAGGGGTTCCCTTTTCCGGTGACGGCGTTTGGCTCTTAGGCAGTTTCATAGGAAGGACGGAAGGTGCAGCCTCTTTCATTACGGAACAACTCACGGCAATGGCAAAACCGCTCCCACTACTAGAATGAATGGACCCTCAGACCTCCTTGCTACTCCTCACGCGCTGCATATCTCGCCGCATAGCTTACCTTACGCGGACCACACCGCTCAATTTTCTCCCCGACGGCTGCTGGTCGTAGTGGGGACGGGACCTACTTGCCACTCTTTTAGCCTCATGCGGTATCTGTTATCCAACGAGTACTACCGAGCAAAACCGGGTCTGGGAACAGTCCACACTACCCCCCTCCCTAGGTGGGATCGGCCTTACTGACCCCACGGTCGAGGGAATCTATGGCTTCCTAGCAAGCTTCACACAGGCAGCCCTACTCCTCTGCTCGCTCCCCTTAGAACCGGACGATATCCAAACAAGCGCCAAGAACTTCATGTTACTACCACGAGACACTAGCACACCTCTTCACACGTGGCTGTCGGCCTGTGAGAGGGCTCTGCCGGCAGACGCCCGTGAGATCCTAGAAGCAGAGAGACTAGAGCCTAAGGGCGTGAAGCTGCAACACGCCCTCGCAGTGAAGGTCCACGGGAGGAGATATGCCCTACAAGTGCAGGAGACCCGGCGGATGAGTCTCAACCCGCTATCAGGGCACACTCAGTGCATGTTCTCCCTTATCGGCTATGGCACGGCTTTACCGATTGAAAACACCCGCCGCGTCGCGCCTGAGCACTTCGCCAATGCTGTCCGCTTTCGCCTTGGCCTACCTTTCTCCAGGCCCGCCAAGTGTGACTGCTCGGACCACACAGAGATCACCGACCCACGGCTGCCAAACTATCTTTTCTGCTGCGGCACGGGCAAGCACAGGATTAACACCCATGACGAGCTCCGGGACGCCTGCATCACTATGGCACAAGACGCGGGTTTTATCGTCCATGGGGAATCTGCCGCTTACTGCCCAATCGAGGACCAGACTGCGGATATCACTATGCGAGACAGGAGCTCAGGGGCGGTGTACATTTGTGATGTCACCATCACCGACCCCATCAGCACCAGGGACCCGAATGCAACCAAGGGAAGAGGATGGGCAGCAAGGGAGATGGCGGACAAGAAAAAGAGACACTATGCCAACCGCACAGACACGGTTGGCTTCTTCCCGCTGGCAGTAGATACCTATGGGTGCCCATGTGCAGAGGTCCCAGAATTCTTGAAGCTACTGGCGGACACAGCTGCTAGGCGTCACTTCAACGCCCAACCTCACTCTTTTCATGCAGCTAGGTTCCTCCATCTCTTCAGGCAGCGGTGGTCCATGGCTCTGCAAAGAGCACAGTCAGTGGGTTACCTTATTAAGTCGAGTCAGGCGGCAGTAGCTGAAAATCCCATCGTGGGGGGGGTGCAGTCCGAGCTCCACCTTGGGGACTGCTGTGCAGTACTAGAGCCTCTCATGGAGGTGTAGAGAGAGAGAGAGAGAGAGAGAGAGAGAGAGAGAGAGAGAGAGAGAGAGAGAGAGAGAGAGACGAACTAGAGGCACCAAGCTACAGGTCCACCTCTAGTTGGACCAAACTACACCTCGACCACGACTTCGGCGCGCTTGGCCCCTTGCTATTCGCGGCCAGCATCCACCCCTGTCTGGTTGCCACGGCGGCGGCCAACCCACAGGTGGTGATATTGGCCTACGCGGATGACATCACCCTCCTCGGGGATGCCATTGCCTGCATCGAGGCCTTTATACACCTTATGACCGCGCTTAACAACTAGGCCTCATATACAACCTGGAGAAGTGTGAGGCATGGTCAGCAGTAGCAGTGGACCCAGCTACACTCCCCACAGGCATATCCGCTACGTTTGAAGGGCTCCGGCTGCGAGCCCCATCGCTCTGCCTCTGGCTGCGCCTCGCTGGTGCGGGAGAGACTTGCGGCAGCAACCGAACCACTCCAGCTAATGTCACAAATGGACCCCTAGCTATGTCTGCTTCTACTCGCCCACCATGCTAGTCAAAGAGCTTCCCTCCTGGCCAGGACAACCCCCTTGGCGGTGCTGCCAGAAGAGGAATGGTCGGCGAGGGGAGATCAGCTCCTCTACACATTCCTAGACACCGCGCACATCCCATCCCTGAGGTGCGCGGTGGAAAGGGAGCGGATTTGGCGGCAAGCGGCGCTGCCAGTGACGCTGGGCAGCCTTGGCATAACAAACACTGCAACAGAGGGGAGCTACGCTTACCTGGCCTCGGTCATTGCTGCCGCCAACCTGCTTCATGCGCTCACAGATGCAATGAACCCGGCGGTAGCAAGTCTCCTCCCGCTCATGGACTCAGGCCGTTGAGGTCCTGCAAGCAGGCAAGCAGGACCCCTAGGGTCTTAAACTATAGCAGGCGCTCTCTCTGGCGGTTCACACCCACCGCTACATTTAAGTGCTAAACGAAGCCAGGAGGATGCGCCCAAACTCCCTCTCTGGCCACGCCCAGAGGCTTCAATCCATCCTAGGGCCACGCGCGGTGATTTGCTGTTAGCCATCCCCCTTGTACCTGCGCTCCGCTTAGGCCCCTCCTAGCTCTCTACCACAGCTGCCTTTCGCCTGGGCCTCCCTCTTCCAATCCCCGAGTGTTGTGACTGCCGCTACCGCACCACCTTCTCGGACGACCACCTGCCCAACCACCTCATGCGATCCGAGAGAGGAAGAGGGAGGATAGCTACTCACCATGCTCTCTGGGACGAGTGCGTGCGAATTGGAGCAAAAGCAGGTTTCACGGTGCACAAGGAGACTTCAATATACGTTTTCTCCTCTGAGTGAGGGGCGGTTGCACCAACTACTCGAGCCCACTTTCGGCCTCTAGAGTCGAGCTGGAGGGGGGCGAGGGTTAGGAGTTTGTAGGGAGGTAAAATGCTGGTTTGCTGGTTGTGTTTGAGTATGCATATAATCTGTGCGCTTGCTATATCTAATACAAGGACCATGAGAGAGAGAGAGAGAGAGAGAGAGAGAGAGAGAGAGAGAGATAGAGAGAGAGAGAGAGAGAGAGAGAGAGAGGAGAGGAGGAGTTGGGCGGCGGCTGAAGGTGCTGAGGCACGTGCTACTGGAGCAACTGGCTCACGGGCAACTGGAGTGACTGGCTCGTATGCCTGGAGCAACACGCTC